TACGATACTGATGTGGCCGATGGCAAATGAGGTCTTTGAGAGCTTGAGCGGTATCGTCGACTACGTCACATACGTGGTACTCACCTGGGAAGCTCACGATGGTTCTGAAGAGGAAAACAGTGCTGCTGCATCGTGGGTTAGCATCATGACGAGCATTTCAGGTGTTGGAGATGGGACTCTTGGAACACCTCTGGATGTTAGTGGATAGTTGCGGTCACTCGCTATTCTTCGAGTTTCATATTGCGCTCATCATGACGCCAGTTCGGCGTCACTGCTGATTCCACAGTCTGTCCACGTACCAGAAGTTCAAGGGACTGTCTGTTGTAGGAGTCGATGATGAGGGCTCCTGATTTTCCCTGACTGTCTATTCGTAGACAAGCGCGTCACCTTGTTCCAGTTAGGAACGTGAGCATGCGTGCATGGCATGTGTGTTGTCAAGTGAACTAGACTATTGGTCTTATCATTTCATTTCTCTAGTCTAGACTTATCCGTATTCAATATAGTTCGAGTTTGATCCATCGACTACCCTTGCGTTCCCTATATGGCTAGCAACGGATCCGATTCCTCCAAGAGTCGTCGCTCCAGGTGTGTTTCGAACTGTCTAGTTGATCCGGCAGCCGTTCAACCGACGTATTCTGAGCTCATACCAATGAAGTCATAGGCTGTACCTGACGCTGTCCGCCACAAATGGCTTCTCCCATTTGGCGCTTGAGACCGTGGGGCCGCCCAGCTCAGTATTAACTTGTTCATATCAGGCAATTTTATTATCAAATCTCTCAAAATATGTCATCCTGCCTCAATAAAACCCTCACGATCATCAACTACATAGCGAGTGGTATTCTCATCCTCGTCGCCCTTGCCATGGCTATACTATTCATTTTTATGCTGGCCACCAGTATTGGCGCCGCTTCTGTACCCTTCAACGTACTCAGCCTCGTATTGTGCATACTAATAATTGCTGTTGGTGTGCTCGGTATTTGGGCGACAAAAAAGCAAGTTAGAATCGCCTTGGGTATATTCTCCTGCGTGGCCGGTGTCATATTCGTCATTTTCTTCATTTCTGCGGCAGTGACCTCAGCAGCGATCGGTGATTCCATAAACTACCTCGCTAGCTTCGATAGCTCCGGTCTCAATAATCTGCCCGAAGGAACTCCCATCGCCGCTCTCTATAGTGTCCTCATGGCTGCTTATCAAAGTTTGTATCTCGTCAACAGCTGTCAGGGACCCGTTTGCAAGTTCTCGGACTTCGGCCTGACATGCTCGTCTATCACATGTGCGTCCAATAGGATTTCAGATGATCTCACCGCCTACCTCAGTGAAGGTGCCCAAAACGGTGGAGTTACTCAGCTTTCCTTGAACGCATGTCTCGAAAACATTGGCAGCAGCGGCGACTCTCAAGGAGCTGATGTTGACACGGCTTGGTGTATCAGTAATACAGCTTTCATCGCTGTTGTCGACGACTGGGCTATCGGTGTCCTCATTGGAGTCTGGATCATCACCGTTCTCGTCCTACTTCTATCTGTCTCCAACGGTGCCTTAGCTTGTACTATTAGGAAGAAGCAAGTGAAGGGTGGCGTCATTCTCGCAACTCCGGCAGAGGTTCCTCAAACGTCTCATAGTTCTGGTGAAGAGGCCGAGAAACAAGTAGTCAACAGTGTTTAACTACTAGTCCTATTCATAATCACAGTTTAAGGGTTTTAAGATCGCGCTCAGCACGGCATCCTCCTCGATGAGCTTTCTCGCTTATACTAAGTCGTAGCTCGTAAACCGAGGTTGTCAGCGGCATCACTGTTGTGTTGAATGCACGAGTGAATTCCGTGACATAAGGCTCAATGCGATATGTGACGAGGTAATGCTAGAAAGGCTCCGATGCAGAGCTAATCGTGAGGGCACGGAAACCGGAGATCCATCGTCTGTTATACAGTTAGAAACGTCATCGCTTCTTGCAGCACTGAATGCCTCACGTTGATCGATGCTGTTCGTTCACGCGTGACCTCGCAAGTGGCAAGATAAGCATGCGTGCCATTCATGACGGGCGCGTAGGAGATGTCTCTGAAGTCGAATTCTCGTTCTGGCGTGCCGACAATGCAATTTTGGGCGAGCGCGACTCGCGTATTGTCCGGGCTTGCGCGGTGTTGTCTGCACGCAAGCACAATGGTTTACGCTCTCTGGGGCCAAGTGATCATGCTAGTGTGTGGACGAACTCCTCTGTAATCAACATCACCTCAAGAGGCTTACAGTCAACTCAGTCCAGCATCAGGGAGGAATAGTGACGGCCCATGGCGGCCTACAGTCCGGGCCGTCTCGCCAACGGCGGTCGGTGACCTGTCTTGTCTTGAGAGGCACGGGTTGGGTGAACACTCTGCGTCCTCCCCTCGTTAGTGAGCATGTACTAAGCATCTCTCTGTAAGGATCATTCCTCCTTTCCTTAATGACTGGCTGCTGCACTGCAACTTCCAAACTCATCAACTACTTCGTTAATACTATCGTCTTCTTGCTCGGGGCTCTGGTCACTGCCTTGGCAATTTACATCCTCGTGTCCGACTTCAAGAGCCTCTTCACTCAATGGCGGATCTGGGTCGGCGTCGCTACTGGTATTGTCCTGATCATAGTAGCTCTCCTGGGCTGTGGAGCTACGAAGAATCAAAACAGATGTGTCCTCACGGCCTTCCTCTTCCTCGCAGGAGTGGTCTTTGCCCTCTTATGCGTCATCGCCATTGCCTCGTCAGTGTACCTGAGCAATCTTGTTTCAATTGGAAGCCTCAACAGTCCCGCTCTCAACAACCTATCCGGTCGTGATCTGAGTACGTACCGTTTCATCCGTGATTCCTACACGTTGGTCTACGAAGATGCCGAGTGCAGGGGTGGTGTATGCGGCTTCACTCAGGGAAGTAGCTCCTTACAATGCTCTCCGATCTTTTGTAAATCCAGAGACGTTACTAAGACCCTCAACAAATGGCTCAACACCGATCGCTCTTCGGGCATCACCCCTGCCTCATTCCAGGCTTGTCTAGCCGAGTCCGCAGAGGACTCGAAAACTCCAATGAGGTCGTCGGCCAGTGCTTGGTGCGGCAGCAATACCTCAGTTATCAACACTCTGAATCGCTGGAGTGTGGGTATTCTCATCGGACTTTGGGTCGTTACTGCATTCATCATGTTCGTTTGCATCGCCAATTGTGTCCTCATCTGCGGTAAGGACCGCAAGGGCCACGGTGCGGTGACTGTTGATGGGAATCCTCAGAGACTGGCTTATGCCCAGCCTGTCTACGGTGGAGACGTCCAAATCGTCAAAGTCTAAGTTCCGAGAATACGTTCAAAAAAGTCAACCTCCGTCGTGGAGTAATGTGGAGATTTCGTATCTGTTCGACATCTCATTTCATTCTTCTTGTCCTTACTGACGACTCCTTCGTCATCAACTTTACCTGATAATCATTTTAACCACGCAGCACTTCAAGTGCTCGATGCTTGACCTGTGAGTCAGCAGTCTCACCTTAGACTTGTGTTCAGTCTCGAGGAAATGTCAGCAGCCTCGCGTTCCAGCGCCAGTAGCGAGCGGAACTGATTGTTCATGTCTGTTCTTCTGATGGTAACGTTGGTTGTGTTCGTGTTTGTCTGTGGGGCAGTGATCAGCTGCCCAATTCCCTCCGGTGACCTCAACGGGATCGATAGAGAATTTCATTCCGCCCAACAGCCTCACATATTCCGAACAGCGAACAAATAACAAGGGTGGAAAAGGCCGACTCCCATGTGGTCAGAACGCTGCCTGCTCAACAACCGCTGAGGACAGTTCTCACATTGCGGCTGCTAGAAGGCGGCAGTTTGTCGTACGGAATACTCTGTTCTTCTTCTCGGCGGACACGAGATGCTCCTGCAATTTGCGACAGCAGGAAAGTTAAAGGCTGCGTGTATGATGCTGCGTTCACGTATTTGACGCTCCATACCTCGCAAGCGGGCTCTACGACAGAGTGGCAGCTCGATACTCATATCATGTTGAGAAGCCCTAACAACGCGACTCGAGAGGATTAACACTCATTTGCTCCTTATCAAGGTATCATGCAAGAATCCCGCAGGCTACATCAAAATGCGGTTGTTCAAACATTCCGAAGCTTCATTCAACGGAGTCATCTACGTGCTCGGACTAAGAGTAGTCTGAGCGTCGATCGTAGTAGAGAGGACTGCGGTGGTGGCCTCAATGGTGGTGGCGGCTGTCGTAGAGGTCACCACGGCCGTACTGACCATCTCGGTGGTATCAGCGGTAGTGGTAGCCGTGGTAGTTGCTTCGGTAGCGGCAGTCGTGCCCTCCTCGACCGTAGTGGCCTCATCGGTGCTCTCACCAGGGGACGTGGTAGTGGTAGCTACCTCGCAGATGCACGGCACATTGGATATATGGCAGACGCTGGGTGTATCCCAATACTTGCAGTAGGAGCCAGGGGTATCCGAGGCACAGCCAGCGTCGCAGTCGCGAGGGGCTTCAGTCGTTGTGCTCGTGCCGCAGGAACACGGGTCGTCCGAGCCAAAGCAAGTGCTGGGGGTCTGCCAGTATTTACAATATGACCCGGGGTAAGTGACAGCACAGTCAGCGTCGCACTCGGCGGTATTGCCCATCACGTAAGTGATGTCCTTGAAAGCACCGAGGACGATGAATACTGCGGGAGTAAAGCCTAGAGTCATCATTGGAGAGGATGAATGGACTACGAGAGGCGGAGCGTCACACACGCTAGTGTTTGACTGATAAGTACGACCGCAGCTCGGTTAGTGTCCATCTTCTACATCGCGAGTAGTTACACCCAGACGTTTCACAAGATATCCAATGCAGGGCAATATATTTCCAAACCCCCTACGTTTATGGAAGCCTCTCTCGATGTATCTTCCAGATCGACTCTCATGGGTGTTGACGACATAATGGACGCAACGATACTCTCGGCGTTTCGCATACAGGAGAACCAGACTCGTCCATAGTATGAGAAATTTCCACATAGACTTCATGAGGAACGAGAGAGGTTCCTCATGATGAGCATGAATTTCAGACTTTGGCCGCGTGCTAAGCCGTTGAGTTATGCCCGCGGGAGTTCGGATCTACCAGGTGTCGTTTCGTTCGATTTGGTTCTCAATACCGTTGCTGATAAACTTCTCAACAGTTTCCTCTTCGATTTAGCCAGATATGGATCTCAGTTCGATGATCTGCTCAGTTTCTGAATCGCCTATGCTGATAAACTCTTGAGTTACACTCGAGGCAAACTTGCGTTTTCTGGAGTCTGTCGTTCGCGTAGTTTGTCAAAGCTCCGCTCCTATCCTAATAATATCAACTCAAATTCTCATCCTTCCCAGAAACATCCACATCGGTTAACATGGCTGGCTAATCACATATACAAAAGACGGTTCCACTTGCGTCTGCCGTTCAACTTCTTAGACTCATATTCACGCCACCGCTGAAGAGATCGAGGCACCCCTCGGGTCATCGCCTTCGACCAATTCTCCCGTCTCTTCTGTATCCTCGCTGCCCTCCTCTCATGCATCGGCGTTGTTGCTCTCAACGAGTTGAAGTGGCTGAGT